GGCAGCACGGTCGGTGCGCATGCGCATGCGCGCGGGGGGGGCGGCAGCACGGTCGGTGCGCATGCGCATGCGCCGCCGTTGGAGCGCGCCCGCCGCCGTTGGGGCTCAGTGCGTGCAACGGGAGCGTTGCGTGGAGCGCGATCTGCTGCCCGGTCCGCGGGTTCCCCTGAGAGCCCGTGCCCTTCCCCTGGGTGCTGGGCCATCGGGCGTCTGCATTTTCCACCCTCCAGTCATGAGGGRGGAGGTGCCCTTTCACCTTTCCTTGTTCCGAAAGCAAGGATCAGATGGAGCTCAACCCAGAGACTGAGCCAGACATGGGATCTAGAGACACAGGGCCCTGCATTAGTGCCCTGTGTCCTCGGAGAGCTGGCTGTGCTGACACGGGGCCTTTGCATTGCCCAGGACCGTGTTTGCAGCCTGCTGCCTGYGCCACGAGCTAGGCTTACCCAGGCTTGAGTTAACCCTGCAGCTAAACTGTGTGTTAACCCCACACCTAAACCGTGTCATTCTGCAGCAAATCCCATCCATCTTTCGCTTTGCATGCTGCCTCCACAGGCTGCACTGTGAGCCTTGCTTGATTCATGAGTGCTCCTAAAAACATGTAGGGTTATTTCCCTGCCCCCCATATGTGGGTCCTTCCCCATGCTGCGATCTCTTGGTTTGCAGGAGTGGAACTGGATTCCCGAAGGCCTCTCCTCACACGCCTGCCCCACGCTGCCTGGTGGGTCCTGGGGAGGGCCAGTTCCCACCATCCCCACCGTGCAGCGGCCACCGAGCGTGTGTTCCCTGCACATGGCTGTATTTATAGCCGCAGGGATATAAATTATGCATTAGCAKGGGGAAGTGAATAGCATATTCAGACCACCAACCTCCTTTCCAAGCAGCGCACAGACACTCGCTATATTGTTTAAGTATTGATTACAAGGCGAGCAAGGCGTGTAATCAAGCCTGCATAATCACTAACTGTTAAAAAATAAAGGAAGAATTGACCCATCTGCCCCAAGTTATGTCTGTACTTTGTGCTTACAGCCTCTGYGCGCGTTGGCACAGCACCTAGTGCCCTCCCGACAGCTGCTTGGGGACGTTGCTTCAGCAGCGCTCGGCGTTGCGCCTGCTGCAGCATCCCTGCTCGCTTTGGCAGGATGCTGCAGCAGCCCGAGCGCTGTCCTGCCCGCTCCTACCCGTTCCCAGAGGCTCTGCTGTCCCCTGCCGCCTGCCTCTGGCCAGCCTGGCGCTGCCCRGCTTGGGGACACACTGCCGCTCCGTGTTACGGGCGGGATGCTGTTCGTACCACACCGTACGATGGGAGTGGAGCRGGAGGAGGCAACGTGCGGTGAAGCCCTCAGAGAGCCCCTTTCCCCATTGACCTACAGCCAGTCTCACAGTGTCCCTTGCTGAGAGCCTTYGCTGCAGGTTGGGTGCCCTCAGGCAGGAGCTGCCCGCTTGGGTTCGCTCTCCCCACACCTTGCACCCGGGCTGCCCCAAGGCACAGGATGTGGGCAAGGGGAGAGAGGAGGTCGCAGGGTGAGGCTGCCAATGGAGACACCCACTGCTCTGCCAAGCACTGCCGAGTGGTTAGTGCTGGAGATCCAGCTGTGCTTCACGAATCACTGCATGACTGTGTCAAGTAACAACTTGGCAGTTGTAAACAGTCTGTAGAGTAGGAATAACGAGTCCTTCACTGCCCCTGAGTTGGACACTAAAGCTGAGGCCAATGTTCAAATGCGCTTTGCGCTGCTCAGGCAGAAGGGGAGGTGGACGGGGGAGAGCTGGGCCTGTCAGCGCGAGCCGACATCACGTGGCCGAGACGCCTTTTCTGAGCTGGGCAGAGGCAGGCGGTGCGGCTCGCCGCCAGCATTAGGCAAATGGCAGGTGAAGCAGAAGGGATCGCAGGGTATTTCTGGTTGATGTCGTGTTCAGCTGGGGGAAGGGAGGACAAATCCAGGGCAGACATGTCCTAAAGATGGAAGGCGGAGGGAAGTGTTAAGTAACAGGAGTCAGCTCCCTGGGTGGGGGGACATGGGGAGCAATCGGGACAAGCTCTCTTGGAGCTGCAGAGGGTGGGTAAACGTGCTAACAGCTGCAGCACTGGCCTAATGAGAGGATTCTCCTCTCTCTTTCCCTGTCCTTCTCCCTCCTTCCAGTTCTCTGGGTCCCGGGAAGGACTAGGATTGCTGCAGCCCGATGAGATCACTGTCTGAGCAGGGCCAAGCTGGCTGTCTCCTCCGTCACACAGCCCCAGCTCCCTCCATCCGTGACACCGGCGTCTGCTTGTGCTCCAGTGAGTCAAGCATGGATGAGCTCACGCTGACTCCACAGTTATTTCCCTGTCCCCTGCAGGCGTTTAACTGGTTATGAAGAAACCCTGGCCCCTGAGCAGGCTGAGGAAGGAGGGATGCCCCCTCTTTCCCGACTCCCATCCATCAATCCCTGTTTTTGTCCAGTCTTGGCCACCCCTTGGCTGACGTCTCTCAGCAATGGCTGAGCTTTGCCTTCCCATGGGTGGCAGGTCTTCTTGCTGCTGATCCCTCCTTTACTTTTCCTTACCTTAGCCCCTTGGTTATGGGAGAACCTGTGGGTCTGTGGCCTTGTCTTGGGATAATGTGGAGAGGGTCGTGATGGACCCATCATGAAAGGGTCATGAGGGTGCAACATTGTCTTGCACCCTCTGGCTCTTCACCTATGGGCTAGGAAGGGGGTGTAAAGGATGTCTAATGCCAAAGGACAGCATTTAAAAACTGCTCTTCAAGGTAGAGATGATGGCAGAAAGAGGTGGAGCCTGAGGCTGGCAGCATGCTCCAGGTTCCAGGTTTGTAACCTGGCAAGGAGAGGAGGGGAGGGAGATGAGACATSGTTAGTGCTGGAGATCCAGCTGTGCTTCACGAATCACTGCATGACTGTGTCAAGTAACAACTTGGCAGTTGTAAACAGTCTGTAGAGTAGGAATAACGAGTCCTTCACTGCTCCTGACTTGTACCTTCAAGCTGAAGCCAATGTTCAAATGCACTTTGCACTGCACAGGCAGAAGAGGCTAAAGGAGTATAGGACAAGGAAAGACAGTTCCTAATTTTGCTCTGTGGGCCATTGTACATCACTCTGGTAGCACAAGAAGCAAGTATATGTAACTTAGCCCACGTGAAGCTGCTTGGAGGCTGCCAACTAAGGCACTTGGTGTGAGTGAGACTTGGGCCTGGTCCTCAGCAGCTCTGCCTGGGCAGTCAAGCCTGGCAACAGGGCAGCACTGGGCAGTGCAAGAGAAATTACACAGTGCATGTTGCCCTCAGGTGTCCTTGCCCAATTTGCTCTGTGCTTCATCCAGTGTGTGCAGGAATGAATCTCGGGGTGTTTTCCCTCTGTTTTCTCTCTTGCTTCTCCCTCCAGCTAGAGGAAACAAGCTCAGGAGATGGTCCTGGGAGAAGGGCACGCAGGTGCCTGTTATGTCACCACTCTCTCCCCAAACCTCTATGCGAATGTGGCCTTTTCTGGCTCCCTCAGCACCCAGTGTAGCACTTGCTTTGCGAGGTCCCGCTTGGCTGCAAGCAGCTGGTGCAGGACAGACCTCCCTGCAACGCGTGGGAAGCGCGCGAGCTGCAGGATCACGCTTAATTCATTGCTCCTACTGCCTCACTAACGGGCAAAAACAATAATTTAGCAATTGCAATTATTAGAGGGAAATTAATGACATCTCCACTTTTGCTGCTGGCAACTTCATTTTCCTTTGGTGGTAAGAAACTTTCGACCTAAAGGAAATCACTTTTTTTTTTTTTTTTTCTATTATGCTCTTTAATTTAGCTAGCCATCTACATTTCTTCAGCTGTTAGAAAAAGTCAGCAAAGCTTCTCAAAGGCATTTTCTTGTCTGGAACTGCAAAAGCACCTGAAATGCAGGCTACTGTGCTTCACCACTGGAATATGAGATTGATGGTCCACCATGCACCCAAGGGGCCTTCTGTGTCCTGCTGCAAGTCCCCTGTCAGCAGACTGGGGAGCATTTCCAGATTGWCCTCTGTCACTGTCCTAGGCTTGCTTAGTAATGACTTTCTTCCCCCTACTTTATTTTGGGGAGTTCTGGGGCGGATTATCATACTGTGAGAATAGAGAGTGTGATGWCTGGGACACACGCTGAGAGCAACAGGGGACTCTTGATTACAAGGTCAGCTTTAAAAAATCCCTGAGCTGCAAAGAAAATTGCGAGCAAGACTATGATTTACAGGTGTACCCRCAGCCTGTAGGGCATGTCCTGGCTGTCTGAGAAGATACTGATGTAAGCTGAAAGGGCTCTAAATAACAGGCAGGAGATTGAAACACAAGGCTGCGGGGAGCCCTGGACCTACTGCATTCAGGAATTGCTGGGTCGTGTAACCCAGCCTGACCCATGTTCATGCTTGCTGCCAAGCTGGGGCATCCTCACAGAATCACAGACTGGTTGAGGTTGGAAGGGACCTCTGGAGATCATCCAGTCCAACCCCCTGCTCCAGCAGGGACACCCAGAGCACGGGGCGGCATCCAGGCAGGTTTGGAAGATCCTCGGAGAAGGAGACTCCACAGCCTCCCTGGGCAGCCTGTGCCAGGGCTCTGGCACCCTCACAGGAAGGAAGTTCTTCCTCACGTGCAGATGGAACTGCCTGTGCACAGTTTCCCATTGCCCCATTCTGGCTCAGTATTTGAAACACAGGACTTCCATGTGAGGAAAAACGGGAAAAGCAGACTCCCAGGCTTGGGATTAACCTGAATTTAGAAGAACTGTGACTCTTTTCTGTTTGTTTGTTTGTTTTGGTGCCATTCACCYTGTCTCATATTGGTAGCTTAAACGCAGGAAACGTCCCTGAGTCGCAGCTGTCTCCTCCTCCTTCACCCAGAGCTGTTATGGTTAAAGGGTTTCTGCTCTGGCCCTGCCACCCCACTCCACGCTGGGCACGCACAGGAGCTCTGGATGGCTGCCCTGTCTCCAGGCACCTTGTGTTCACTCTCAYAGTGCAGGAAGATCTGCGGCTGCAGAAGATACGGAGAGAGCGTCCAGCACGGAGCAATGAAGATGATTAAGGGACTGGAGCATCTATCTTAATGAGGAGAGACTAAGCGAGCTGAGCCTGTTTAGGCTGGAGAAAAGATTGAGAGGGGATCTTATCAATATGTACGAATACCTGATGGGAGAATGTAAAGAAGATGGGGCGAAACTCCTCTCAATGGGGGCCAGTGACAGGACAAGGGGCAATGGGTGCAAGCTACAACACAGGCAGTTCCATCTCCATGTGAGGAGGAACTTTCTTCACTGTGAGAGTGACAGAGCCCTGGCACAGGCTGCCCAGGGAGGTTGTGGAGTCTCCTTCTCCGGAGATCTTCCAAACCCACCTGGATGCCGCCCTGTGCCCCGTGCTCTGGRTGTCCCTGCTGGAGCAGGAGGATTGGACTAGATGATCTCTAGAGGTCCCTTCCAACCTCAACCATTCTGGGATTCTGTGATTCTCAGCTCACACTGGTTCTGGTGTCTGCACCGTGGCAGGGGAATCTTTGGTGCTTCGGCACCACGTGCCAGGGGACCCAGCGGTCCCGCAAGATCTGCTCCACCGCGCAGGTAGGTGGTACCTGGCCCATCACGAGCAGATTCTCAATGTCTTTACGTGATTACTGAGTTGCGTTAAGCAGAAGAGGCCTGGGGAAGACGAAAGGACTATGCAAAAGGAATCGTGCAGCATCATGGCCATCGCACCAGCACCTTTAGCACCCATAGCCGCCTCCTGCTCCGTCTCTCCGCCTGTGAATTGCCCTCTGACGCAGGCTGGGCAGCAAACAGCTTCGCAGTGTCACCGTTCCCTTCGCTCGGCTGGAGCCAGCAGGACCCTCTGACTATTGCAGGGCGCAGGGCTCCTTGGGGAGCGGGTTAACCCTTTCGTGACCTAAACGCAATTCTCTAGAAAGCCAAACCTTGCTCTTCTTGACTCCTGAGGCGCAGGGGTGCAGCTGGCACAAGTCTGGGCCCAGGCTTGGGCCCTTTTGCACCTTTACTTGGCCCTGCCGCCTTTCCCAAGCATTCCCTGCAGTKTGCCCGGTAGGGCTATAGGTGTCAGTGAATGAGCAGGGAGGGCTGAGCGGCTGGCGGGGAGCAGGAGCTCCCTGGCTGCAGCGGCTCCCTTGACTGATTTGGTTAAAATGTTTTCGTGCTAACTGACTTTGGAGTCATGGTGATTTTTTCTTCCCTGTGCTGCTGAAAAGCCGAAGCAGAAGACGTTTCAGCACGATGATTTCTGTCAGCAGCAGTAASTGTGGAGCCCAGTTTTGCTTCTGTAAACAAGAAGTATTTTGTTGAAAGCAAAAGTATTACTTCAAAAAATAACATATTTTGATTGTTTTATTCTTTGAGATATTCTGGCCAGAAAGTTGGCAGATTCGTTTTCACCTATTTTTTAAAAAAAACCTAAAAGGAGTGTTAACGTGCCCCTTCCATCAGCTCCTCTCCATGCCTCTTGTCTCCATTCCTGTGGCGAACTTCCAGCTGCTCATATCACTGCCATGGAGTGGGTGCACCTGGAAAACACCAGAGCCTTAAAATCCCACAGAGCTCTTTGCACCCAACCTACACATTTGTGCCTCCTCCTCCGCCACGCCTGTTCCCTGTCCTTGCCCTCCCGCTGGAAGAGCAGTGCCCACCACCTCCTCTTCCCATGCTGAGCTCCTTTCCCTCTTAAACCGCTCCGGCTTTTCCTCTTTGGAGGACAGGGAGCCCGTTCTGCTCCCCCGGGCTCCTCTCTGGTGCGATGGCCATGCCAGCGGAAGGAGAGCATCGCTCTGGCTCCTGCCTCTCGGAAGGAGAGCATCGCTCCGGCTCCTGCCTTTCCCCGGGTACCGGAGCGGGAGGCCGGTTGCCATAACAACCGCCACAGGAATGCCCCCTCCCCGCGGCACCGGGATGCAGTTGGGCGCAGACGCTCCCTCCTGCGGGAAGGAGCAGCCAGGGAGGCCGGAGGGGAGAGCCCGGGCAGGGAGGGAGGTAGCGCGGCCGCCGCGCCAGCCCCGTGCGCTCCCGCCGCCTCTGGCCCTCCTCCCGCCCCGCTCCCATCGCTTCCCACGGTCACGCCAGCTCTCCCGGAACTGGCTTCCTTTGCCTGGCACTGCAGGGAAATCCGTGTGCTGGGGAGTGAGCCTGACTGCTCCCACGTGGGCCCTGCGGAGGCCGACAAGAGCAGCCCCATCCCGCCTTTCTGCACCCGCTGAAGAAGGTAGGTGGCACCTTGCAGGGCGGGCAGCGGGGATCGGCGGGATGCCGTGTGTCCGGGGCCTGGCCCTGCCATCCATAGTGCCCTGCCCCAGCTGCAGGTTCCCCCGGGGTGCCCTGTCCCAGCATGATCTTACACGGTCAGGATAAACCTGTTTTGGTGCATGGGCTAGATCTGGTACAGGAAAAATGGAGCCGAACCTTATTTGTGCTCCTGACGGTGCAGCCCATAGCTTTGTGGCCAAAGTCACTGTGTGCTGCCACCGCCAACAGCTCCGGGGCTGTGGCGATGGGCAGAGAGCTCSTGGGGTGGCGTCTGAAGGGGAGTGGTGGGAGGGACACGTCTGACATGGATCAGTCCCCTTGCCTCTCCGAGGAGCTCTCCCAGCAGGGTACTGGGGTTCTTAATTTCTGGGAGGGCTCGGGTGTCCCGCTGCCAAAAGGGAAGCGGCAGCAGCGAGGGCTGGGACACCTTGYGGATCCGCAGAGCTCCCCCGGGAAGGGAAGCTCCTTGGCATGGCTGCCAGGCAAGGGGGCTGAGGAGGAGCTGGCTCCGGAGGAGCTGGAGACACCAGCTCCGCCGGCCCCGAGGAAGGACAACCCGGGCACTGTGTGGGGCTGCTCTCGGCCGTGGTGCATTTGGAATGGCAGCGGCACGTTTGGATTTTGAAGGTGAACGCTGGGGAAGGGAATTTAGGTTGTTGATTTGCAACCCATCACATGGGGGAGGCTGGGTTGGTGCTACCTTACCAGGCTCCCAAACCCCGTCGCTTCCTGCATTAAACTGGGAAGGGATTGATATTATCTGCTCASCGCTGGGTAAAGGGTTTGTAGGAGGCTCTGTCAGTGCCGTGGTGGGGAGGATGCCGGGGTGCTGTCAGACCTGGTCAGGCAGCAGCAGCACGTGAAGAAACAGGAGCTGCTTCTGCAGAGGGAACCGCGAGGGTGGCACGCGGGGCGCTCCACAGTGCCTCTGCGGGGCCCTAGCGCTTAGCCTGGGCTTTTTATTTAATCTCCCGAGTCATTTACTGGAGAAACGAGGGGATGGCAATGGAAAGGCAGGGCTGAGGCTGTGTCTTCATGTCCAGCTGAATGGTGGCTGGTGCTGAGCAGTGTGGAGGGGGTGTCATGTGTGGCCAGGACAAGTGGGGTCCGGGCAAAAGGGAGTGAGAGGAAGATGGCAAAAACCCTCCAGGACTTGGTGACAGTAGCGGCCGTGCTGGAGGTAGGCAAAATGATGGCTGCTAAAGCAGAGAACAACATGCACTAATGTCTCTGCCATCCTGCAAGGAGGGCAGATAAATATCCAATATCTGTGCCTCTAAGCACAGGGAAATCCTGTTTTTTTTTTCTTTCATTTCTTTTTTCCATTCTACTTCTGTCAATTTCTTGCTTATCTTAGCAACAATTCCTGCTAGTTTCAGATCTAACCCTTTGAGAGAAAATGTTATTTATAGRGTAGAAATGAAATGTCCTGTTCATTCTCGTGCTTCCTGCTGATAGTCTTTGTGCTGGCAGGCGAGGACAGGGCCTCTCACTGCAGGATGCATTCCGCAGACAAGTGCTTCTGGGCAGATTTGAATCAATTGATTGCCCTGGTATTAAAAAATAAATAAATAAACCCCCCCAGCAAGCTCTGTGTGAAATCAGTTAATGTGATGGCAAACTAACTAGCACTTACTGTGTCACAGAAATCAGAGTGAGAAATAATTGCCAGGTAAAGCTGTGTGCATTCCTGCTCTGCGCCAGCAGRGATGCCTGCAGGAATTTGCCTTCCTAAACGGGAGCCACAGCACCAAATCATTGGAAGGGRCAGATGCTACGCGCCCCTATGGCGGGCACAGCTGGTGTCAGGAGGCGTTTGCTTCCAGAGCACGTGGAGGGGATCCCGGCGGGAAGCCGCAGCGGCAGCCTCGGGGAAGGAGTCCCAAGGACTGGCCTGGGGCAGGATGGGCARCAGTGGCTGGGGAGCCGTGCAGAGCCCCCCCAGCCCGGCCTTCCTGGGCCTGCACATGGGAGGGCAGGAGCAGGAGCTTCGAGCAACGCGGTGGTGACTCTGCTGGCCTGGAGGCCCTTCACCTGTGACAGCCTGAAGGTCTCTTGCAAGGCAGGATTCAGTAAGGCCCAGCTCTGCCTGCGCTGAAGGCAAGGGGCATTGCATCTGCAGCACCCCAGGGCAACAGTTTCCGAAAATGTACTTGAACTATCGTCTTTTTTGCCTCCGTGCTGAACCCTTCGCTGCTGTCCAGCCTGGCTCACTGTTGGCTTCTCTCCCTGTCCACTGCTTCGGGGAAACTTGAGTGCTGATGGCTGGAGCGGGGGTGTCTGATCCTTCCCTCTTGCTGTTTCTCAGCAGCGGGGGTGATAGTGTGGTGGGCTGGGCCCRTAATGGACCTGTTGTTCTGTGTTTCCCAGGGCAGTGCTGATCTGGAATAGGAACGTGGCTCACGGGGGCTTTTTGGCCAGGCAGACCGGCTGCTCCAGGTAAGTCACTGCTGCYCCAGCAGATGATGCAGGGCCTAAACCTGCAGATGGCAACAAGTGCAAACCAGAGACCTGGGTCCACAAGACCAAAAAGCAGAATTCATAAAGACTGGGGATGGTACTAAGTTCTGCTAATAAACCCAACTGTCTCTTCCTGAATACCACTGCAAAAAAACCATGAGGAGACTTGGAAGTCTTTGGGAAAAAGGTGAGAGACCAGGACAGGTAAGGCAAAAACCAGTGGTGAGCCAAGAACTGCAAGATCCCCAGAGGGATTTTGGGCGATTTTGTGGTTCTGTGGCTTGGCATAGTGCAGCCTGGTGGAGCTCTTTCTGGAGGCGCTCCCCCTACAAGAGCTTTCTCGCCTTTTCTCTGGCAGCCATGCCCCACTTCTTGGATTGGTTCGTGCCCGTGTACCTGATGATCTCCATTCTCATCCTGGTGGGCTTTGGAGCTTGCATTTACTACTTCGAGCCGGGCCTCCAGGAAGCCCATAAGTGGCGAACGCAGAGGCCGATCATGGAACGGGACCTACGGAAGACGTTGATGATTCGGGACAACCTTGCCTTTGGGGTGCCTGAGGTCTAAAATGCCGCCCACGAGGGGTGAGCTCTGCACGCTGTGTCCAGAAGAGCCTCTCCTGTGTGGATGGACATCCACAGGTCTTGGTCAGGATGGCAGGTCTCCCACATGCAAGTGGGGTGGATCAATGMTTTGTTCTTTGCTGCTATGTGAATTTTACTGTTCACTTTTCTTTCCCTTCAACCCTTAAGCAATGTCTATGTGGCGCTGCAGACTCAGGACTTTCCACCTGTCCACAACCCTTTATCCTGCAGGGACTCCTGCACCTCTGATGGCTGGGACTGATCAATCACTAAAGCGAAAAGGTGTCTTGTTAGTCACTGTTGAGATTGAGACAACATGTCTTGATATGACCTTCACAAAGAAAGGTCTCTGCAAGGATACTGGCCTTCTGAGAGGACACAGAGCCTTTTATTCCTCATTGCTGGGTTAAACCTAATCCAGGCACCTTAAGTCAGAGAAGTGTTTTTGGTGAAATGAATTTGGTGGCTTTCAGCCCAGTTCCTTGCCTCGGTGGAGCTCTTCACAGCAGTCAGCCTTGGCAATGTGCTGGTAAGCTTGCTGAAGCTCACCTCAGCTTACCCGTGCGCGGAGGGGCTGAGGACTGACAGCCCTGGAGACTGAATGCCTTTCTTGCTGCTCGAGCTGCACTGCTTTCTTGTGTCTGTTTTGGAGCCTCAGAGTTTGGAGCTCTAACCTGGCATTGCCATAAGCACAACATTCATGTTAAGATCATTACTAAAGAGGGTTGTCTAAGCCCTGTGCCAAGCAGAGACATTCTGCAGCGCTCCATGAAGCGGTGCTGCCAGATTGATCTCGTAAGCCTCTCCTGGGGCACCGCGAAGCACCTGGTCTTCTGCTCCRCTCTGCTACTAAAGGAGATGGGGCACTTTTCTACAAATTGATTTACACATTTGCACTTGTTTGGTCCCCTGCACCCAAGAATCATCCTGAGCAAATTCCTGGAGCCCCAGGTGCTACTCTCCCTTCACTGTCATCCTCACTGCAAGCTGTGAAACATCCCTCAACACCCTTTCTCTGCCTGTCTCTGAGAAGGGACATTGAGCCATTCAGTGAAATGAACCTGTTGCACYGCCTGTGGTTTCCGGACCTGAGCTGTATGATGTGGGTCTCGCACAAAATCCCATGTTCATATTGCAGTATTTGCACTTTCCTCACTCCCCTGGGGCTGACCCGCTACCAAAGCACTGTAAGAAGATGTGAAGCTGGGGGTACCTGGGCCATTGACACCTTTCCCTCCCCGCCAGTGGTGTGCAATGCCTGGGGAGCAAAGTAAGCCTTGGGGGAGCCCTGASCCCCTGACAGGAGGCTTTACCAAGTGCCAAACCTGGTTCTCGCTGGTGCATATCATGCTGCCGCGTCACTGTTGTGTGTTGTGCTCCTGCCTCCACCTCTGCAGGACACTGTAATGAGCTGCTTGCTGGCCCAGCCAGTGTGAAGGTACATGGTGCTGCTGTCCTGTGCCATCTACAGAGCCCTGGTCACAGCAATCCCTCCTCCTCTCACCCAGAAAACACTCTTTATATACGCAAGTTGTATAGGTGTCTTGTACCCCATCGCACGCACGCTGGAGGGTGTAAGCCAGCCACCACAACACCAATGTCCATGCGTCCAAGCGACCTACACTGCCACCTGCACATGCTGCATCCATGTCCCCAGGCACCAGCTCTGTGCCACAGACCCCAAAGGCTCCTTTGTCCAGCAGGACGCTCRATCCAGCTGTGGAAGGAGGCTTCCTCCTTCCATCACAGCTCGTCAAAGGAGGGATGGTGTTGCTCAGCCTCCAAGAAGAGGTGGGCAGCGTGCAATAACTCTCCTTTGAAACTGTCGGCAGAGGCTTTCTCCTCCATTACCGAGGGGAGGAGAGTGCACTGGACTGATGTAGCTGAGTGATGTTCTCCTGGTAATTCTATGAGGAGAAAGTTAATTTTTAGATCCAAGGGTTTTGACTCAGTAGGGAATGGATCAGGGAATCTTGTAAATAGCCTAGGTCTTTCTGACGCTTTCCATCTGCCAAATTGCCATGGTATCACCATTTTCTTTCTCAGCAAAACGGCAAGACTTTTCTAGCTGTGTTTGAGCCAGGCTGAAAATTAGAGAGTCCCTCCATTCAGCCAAAAGCAGAGCTCTTGATGCAAGAGGTCTTGATGCCCTGGCCTGGGGAGTTTCATTCCGCAGGCAAGTGAAATGAGTGGGACGATTCCTGTGCTGAAAGCGAGCACGGGKGCAGTTTGAAACAGGTACCTCTTGGGTGTTTTTGTTCCTCGGTGAGTCAGGCCTGTGGAAGGAAAACACCACAGGGCTGCACCGCGTGGCATCACTCACCGTCCCCAGCTGCACCGATCGTATCTACAGCCCTCCAGAACAATACAGACGTAGTCTCCAAGGGTCAGCTTGGAAACCTGCTTCCCATCATTGCTGGCAGCTAGGGCTGCAATGCAACATACTACAGCCACAATAACGGGGTAGCAGTACAAGCTTTTGTAGTAGAGATCAGGTAGTAGAGAGCGAGGTTGGGGACAGGCCAGGCTGTCGCTGTGCAACAAGACTGTCTGTTGAGCCAGTTTATGGTAAGGAAATCCCTCTCACTAATCCAATAAAGTGAAAGGCCCAGCACGCCGTGCCGTGTGAGTGCACCCTGCGCGAGGGTGCTCTGCAGCGAGCTGGCAGGCTGGGCTGCCACRGGCTTGCCCACGGGCTTGCCGTGGGTCTGCTGGCTCTCGCTGGCCCCTTGGCACCTCGTGCCTGCTCTGCATGATCTCCTGTGTGCAATCTTGCCTGCTTTCATCTCCTCTGCACCCAGGGTTCTGTACAGGAASCTGAACAAAAAGGAGGAAAGTAGTTCAGCCCTGTCCCGCTTGCTTTTGCCTTTTTGTTCAGTTTTCTATGGCAAATCCTGGGGCTTGAATGTCTCAATAGAGAAATAAGGAGGGCACCCGTGCATTTATTTGGCACTAAGCACTTGGCAGGGCCAACTGCTGGAGATGGTGCCAGAGGAAACAACTTTGCCAGGGCAAAGAGGAGGACTGGGAAGTGATCTTATGAGTATCTATTGCCTTTGACATCCCCAGTCCCTCTGTGTTCATCTGCCTGATGCCCTGACTTCATCCCAAGAGCTAAAGAAGAAGCAAGACCAGGTTCCAAGGTCTACTGAATGTTTTGCAAACTATTTATTTAACTACTCTGTCTTGTTTCCTTCTCTTTAACTCTGATGGTGTCAAATCAGATACTTTTCATGGCTACTAAAAACATTATTGTTAATAGTGTCAAAGCCCTCTACTMTGAAATAAATGTGTAAACAATTTCCATTGCTCTGTTTTCATTTTGTTCTCCCTGGGAGCTGCCTCCCTCCATCTTAAGACTAGCCAGCAAGGACTAGCTCGTAGTTAGATTCCCTTTAAAGTAGGGAAGTTCTTTATTTAAGCAGTTCTCTGCTATGTATACTAAGGGGTTATCTGGGAGTAATTAAGAAAAAGGAAAACACTGAGTGAAAACTGAGACTGCTTCTTCCCTGTGATATCTGTGCAGCTATAAAGACTCTCTCAAGGGAAAGTGAAATAGTCTCAGATACTGAGTTGAACTGGATGAGGCATTAGAGAAGATACTTAGTGCTGGAAACACTGAAGAGCATCAGATTGCTCTTTTTCGGCTTCCCTTTCTCTGTTTCTTGAAGGAAACAAAGCAATTACACAATCCTGAGCCCTTCTTTACCCATGCCACTTCCGCGCGGGCTCTCAGCCCAGCCRTAACCCCCTGGCACGTTTGTCACGGCCGCAGGGCCGTGTTTGCCATGTGCTGCCAGCCCAGGGCACCGCTCTCGGGCTGTGCTGTCCGCCACAGAAGCGGCTGGTTCCTGKTAGCCCCAGCGCCCAGGCAAGCGCAGTTACGGCTGCAATTCTGCTCCGTATGTGGGCAGCTCGCAGCTGCCCCCGGGCTGAAACGGCGCCTTTCTCCGCCAAAATCAGCTGAGTTTGGCATCAGAGCGATGCCGAATCAGCTGGTCACCGTCCCCTCCATGGCCAGAGCTGCGCTGATGGCCTTGAGGACCCCAAGGGACATCTCCCCAGGGGAGGGGTGACTACTCTCCCCCAGCGTAGGGATTTGCCTGGGAGACTCCTCAGCTTTGGAGATGCTGAAACTTTTCACAGGAAGCTTTTGGCTTTTTGAACATTTCAATTATTTCAGGAAAAAGACATAAACATACATATTGTGATGGCTTTTATTTTCACTTTCCACTCCATTTCTCTTTTTGTCCTGTTTGCCAATGTTTTGGTTCATGCCTCCCACCAAAACATGTGTCCTTTTTCCTACTTAGTTATTACACTGCTCTTCAAAATGAATTTTGTTTTTGATTGAGATGCAGAATAACCCACTGACTGCTTGTAACGTGTGCACTTTAAGCCCTGAAAAAGGCCAAATGCTAATGGCATTAGGAAGGAATTGGAATAATAGAGAAGAAATAGAAAATCAGAATAAAAAAAAAAAGGGCTAAAGCCTGAACAAACACCTGAGAAGCAAACGATGCCTTCCTCAATGGGGAAAAAACAAGAAAGTGAGAAAATATTTCAAAAACTCAGTGGTATTCTTCTCAAATCRCGGTCATTTGCCCAAGAGCAGGTGGTTTATGGCCAGGGTTTCCCTCCAGCTTCTGCTGCGAGCRGCGCAGCAGAGGGACGGGCGCCTGGGCCGCGTGCTCCGGGCTGGGGGCACCACGGGGYGGCCTCGCGCGGCCCGCGAGCCGCCGGGCCGGGAATGCACTGGCGCAGGGCGCAGGAATGGCTGCAATGCGCGGTGCTCGGCCCGCCCGCGCCAGCCACAAGCGGCTCTTTGTCAGGCCGGAGGCGGCTCTGGCTCGTCCCGCCGGAGCTCCTAGCGTGGGCCGGTGTCCCCAGYCGGCCGGGCACTGCCTGGAGACATGGAGCCACAGGGCTGGCCGCCGCGTGGCTGAAGGCCGCTCTGGGCAGTGCCGGTCAGTCGCATTCCCCCCCATCCTGGATCCCTTGTTTTTCCCTGGTGCTCCTTAAGAGCTGCCTTTCACGCCTCCGCCGCGTCCCCCCCTATCCCAAGCGTCACCTTCTCCCACTGCTTCGAACAAAGCTGGGAAAACCTCCTACGAGGACGAGGGSCCGGGAGGAAGCAGCCCGCTGGAGGGAGGAGGGATGGAGGGCCGGCCGGGCTGGGAGCTCACCGGCTGGACGCGGTGCCCTGGGCGCTCCAGGCGGGCGCTCAGGCTCCGCGCGGCCCCTCGCAGCCCCTGTTTTGGCACTAGGTGAGTGCTGGGCCCCCTTTGCAGCCACTGAACGGGCATCGGACCAGACCCTGCCCTGCGCAGGGCACCCCAGGGCAAGCTGTGCCTATGGGCTGTGAGTGCTGGGTGCTGAGCACGCACTTCCCGCTTGTTTTTCCAGGCCAGGCCGTGCCTGTTTGCGCCCAGGATGGATGAGGACTTCTCGCCAGCCCCTCACCGCCGGCGTCCGCCCGCCTCGGTGCCSTGCTCCGGCGCCAGCCGCATCCCGGCACTCGCTGCTCGCCCCGCGGTGCCGGGGGTCCCACTGCCCCTTGGCTCACCGGTCCCCCAGAGGGAAACGACYCGCGAGGCTCTGCCCCGGGGCCCTGCCCTCATCGGCGCCCGCCCCATTGAGCTGGCCCCCTTGCCCTCCATAGCCGGGGGGCCGCCATGGGCCGCGGCAAACGGCGCAGCGCCCACCAAGCGCAGCTCCCTCCTGGTGACGCTCCGCCGTGGCGCCTGGGCGGCCCCCCGGGAGCGGCAGCGCCTCGCGGCGCCCCGGGAGCTGCCGCGAGAGGCGACGGCGGCAGCGGCAGCA